GCCTCGGCGACCCAAAACTCCTCCAGCGCTTCGCCGACGCCGGTGTCGACGTAATCACCAACGCCAGCATGCTCAGCATGGGGCTCCTCACCACGCGCGGCGTCGATCGTGGGCCCATGGCCTCGTGGCACCCGGCGCCTCCGGAGCTTCGCCGCGCGTGCAATGGCCTGGCGCAGATCGCCCAGTCGGAGGGGGAGCACCTCGAGGAGGTGGCCATCCGGTGGTCGATGGACCACTGGGCCAGGATAGGCGCCGAGTTCGGCTCGACAGCCATCTCGCACAAGGGGGAGACCGGGGTCCGGGGCCCTGCTCGGATGGGCATCAGCGTCATGGGCGTGTCCAGCGTTGCGGAGCTGGACGAGACCTACGACATATGGAGGAGTGTGATCAACGAGGAGAGCGACGGCCGCGAGGTCCACCGCCGCAGGAAGATTGCGGCTCTGGTCAAGGATAGGATGTGGCCCAGCCTCGGAGGCTGGAAGAACTACTCATGGCCCAGCGGGCGCAAGGAGTATTACCAGAGAGAGAGAGAATCTCATGATAGGGAGACCCAGACTGAGTCTCGTGGTGGGGAGCCTCGCCGGGCAGAGATCCGGTACAAGGAGACTCATACGACGCGAGTCTCAGGACGAGGCCCCGAGGAGGACGAGAGGAAGTACAGGGACGCCGAGGATGCGGATGCGGACGAGAGACAGGGAGCAAGGGCCCCGAAAAAGGATGTGGTAGGCACACCCAAACTCTAGTAAATTAATCTGCCCAGTACGAATTACGGATACATAGAGATATTACACTACATGGTATACCATTTCTTCCCAAGCCGCAGTTTCATCACCGACGTTGCAGGCTGTGCTGTGATATCCATCAGCTATATGTCATCCACCCATCAATGCCTCGCTCGCCTACGTTAATTGGCTCGGCATTGACAATCGAAATAGAGTAGGGACGCTAGCGGATGACTTTGCATCGTATCTCGGGTCGCATCTCGCAGATCGTCGCCCGCCGTCAGTGTGGTGGGTTAAGCACCAGACAACTGATTGGCTTACTCCTACATCAACACTGAATTCCCAAACCTCTAACCACCGTATCTCGTGTTGGTTGAGATTTAGAGGCTCCACCGGGTCCTTGTCAGTCAACGCTGCCTCAAACGTCCATCAGCATCAGAGATGATTGTATAGTCGCAGCAGCATGATTGTCCCTTGGCGTAGACGCGTCTGCCTCACTGGCCGTGTAACTTGCAAACATATAAATGGGCGTTTATCGCCAGCTTCGTAGAGATAATTAATACACTCATCAAACGCTACTACACAAGTGAGGCTCCAAGTGAGACATACAAGACCCAGACCACCAGTTGAACACTTCAAAACAGTCCTCTCCTACACCTCCTTCGCTCCCTCTACCACTTATACACCATGCTCCGTATGCTATCTGCACTGGCTCTGGCCCCGGCCCTGGGAGTAGCAGAACTAATCTGCGGTCCTTCCGGCCCAGTCCTCCCTCGGCCCGCCATCTCCTCCCTCTCTTCATCCCCAATCCTCCAGCAGGCCGCCGCCAACCTCACGTCGGCACTGAACGCAGCCATCAACGGCACCATTACTGCAGGCTGGGAGACCAAGAACGCGTCCTTCTCAATTGGTCTCATATCTGCCAACCAGAGCGATGCAAAGGTCCCCATCTGGGAGTTCCATCACCGTGCCGAGGCCAACACCCGCGGCACCCTCGAGGTGGGCAGAGACTCGCAGTATCTTGTTGGGTCAATCAGCAAGGCCATCTCCGATTATATCTTGCTGCGAAGCGGCATTGATATTGATACTCCTGTCACTGAGTTCCTGCCCAAGTTGATAGAGACTGAGAGTATCATCCAATGGAACCAGATCACGCTGCGAATGTTGGGATCGCATCTTGCAGGTGTTCCGGCCAACTGTAAGTGATGTTATCCCAAGTTCAATTGCCATCTATCATTTACAATTTTACATGAAACTAAACATCTCTCCCTCAGATGGCTTCTCCGAGTACTACTATTTGAAGAAACTGTTCATTTCCTCGGGCCTACCAGACATTGATGACTCTGAATATCCCCCTTGTAGCGTGGGTGGTCTGAATGGGCCTTGCTCGCAGGATGGTAAGAATTCCCCAATTCCTAGTAATCATTGTCCTTGAGAAAGACATCCAGTAACCTCTGACTCTCCATATGCAGATTTCCTCAACGGGATGCGAACTCAGTATCCTGTAACCGCTACCAACGAGCATCCCTCCTACTCCAACATTGCCTTTACTCTCATGTTCATGGCCGTCGAGGCACAAACGGGGAAGAACTACACTCAGCTAGTAGATGAATTCATTGGTCAGGAGCTTGGCATGACGAGCACGTTTCCCTCGCCTGGCGACGATGACAAGGCCGTCATCCCGCCAGGAGAGAGCACATGGGGAGGCAACTATGGCTTCGACGCACCGTAAGTATAACTCATCCCTCTCCGTTTATATCCAGTCATTCTAACATCTGACAGCGCCGGTGGCCTGGTCTCTACCATTTCCGATCTTGGCCAGTTCTGCCATCGTATTCTCACCCGCACTCTACCCATCACCGGCGCCCAGACTCGCGGCTGGCTCAAGCCCTCCTCTGTCGCTGGTAATCCCAGCACACAGGTCGGTATGCCCTGGGAGATCTACCAAACCTCCGACCTGACCCCAAACCACCCTCACCCCGTCTCCGTCTACGGAAAAGGCGGCGGCGCCATGTCCTACCGCAGCCAGCTATCCATCATAGACGAGTACGGCATCGGCCTCGTCGTCTTGACTGCCGGTCCGATGAACTCCATCACCCTGATCAACAACGCCGCCCTCTCCGTCCTCGTCCCCGCCATCGACGAAGCCACCAGGGCATACGCGCAAGCCAACTACGCAACCACCTTCAAGACCGCCGGCGGCCACCACGGGAACGACTCGCTCTCTTTCTCCTTCTCGCTGGACCAGGACTCCCTCCTCGTCAGTAACATCACGCGCGGCGAGACCGACGTCCTCGCCGGCCTCGTCAACATCTGGTCCGTCACCGTCGGCGGGTACGTCGCCCCCGTGTCCTCGCCCTTCCGCTTGTTCCCCACGGAGCTTAACACACATACCACGCTGGGGGACGGCACGCCAGTCACGGTCGAGACGTGGCGGCTGCAGCCCACGCTGAGTTTCCGGACGGACTCGCAACTGCCAGGCGTGGGGCTGGACGCCCACACGTGCTTCCAGTGGACGGTTGGGGACTGGGTGCATTACGGGGGGGAGCCTACGGACCGGGTGCTTTTCTATAGGGATGGTGAGGATAGGATTATTGGGTTTGAGGCGCCGTTTATGAGGTCTGGGATCTTGCGACCAAACTGATCTACGATAGTTGTCGTTTACTTCAGCTGGGTCGAGTGATAGATAAGTTTTGATTTGTAGTTTATATTATCATTATTCTATCCCCTCTAGAGATAGGATAATATACAAATATTCAGAGAATTACTTCCTAGAATGGGAGCTATATACAGTAGCTTATGCTATATAAATCCACCAGTAGAATAGAAGGCTTTTATATAATTTCTTCCTAAACCGAAGTTTCATGACCGGTGTTACAGGTCGTGCTGTGATATCTATAAACTATATCTCTACCGCTTATGTGAGCCCACACTAAGGAATATTGCGTTAGCTTTTCGATCCACCTTCGTCTGTGGTGTAACTTCTTTCTGCAGGCGACAGGGAGCGAGGAAAGAAGCCTCTTTGGGAAATATTGCGTACAGGGATGCATCCCATGTCAGCGTAAACTTGAACAGCATGATTTATTTTCAAGGATTATGACGTCTACCCCTTGAAAGCCGAAGGGGAAAAAACCCGGCAGGTATTGAATGCCGTGGGGAGAGAAAACCAACTAACCCATATAGCTAAGGCGCAAGGGTCGCCTGCTGCACCCGCTTCATCGTTGACGAGGTCCGGGTTTGACATAGATCAGTTACCCAGCTCGCCACAACTAGGAACACTGGTTATTTTATTTTGTTATGAGTAAGCGGAATCATTATCGAGTGACATGGTGTTTCCAGATGGATACAAGCCCTTGTTCCCATCTATATATACTCGCTTTGTTGTGAATTCCCAAAACTATATAAAGCAGCTGTATCCCCTCATTCAATCTGCCTTCATCAGTATTACAATCCGGTTTCAACTACTGTCCTTACATCTTATCTTTTGTATTATCTTTATATTTATAACAAGATGCGCTTCTCTGCCATTCTATCTCTTTTTGCTCTAACTGTGGTTGCTACCCAGTATGAGTCTGAGCTGGATGAACGTGACCTCGAGAACATCCGTACAATTGAGCGCCGTGAGGCTTTGCTTGAGAGATACTCTGAAGCCCTTGCCGAAAAGAAGCGTCATCTCATTGTGAGTTTGATTTAAAAGAACTATTTAGCACCTGGCTATTTAGAATTCAGAGATAGCTAACATGATCTTTTATACTGTAGGAACGCGGTGTAAGACCAACCTAAGAAAAGACCTCCAGGATATAGAGAAACAAAGCTAATATATATACAGGGTAACCAACCGATTGGAAGATATTGCCCTCCTCCAAAAATCTATAACTCTCGGTATAGAGTTTGTATGTAATCGATGGAAGGTGTTAGAGCCGAGGAGTTACACAATCCAATACGCTTAGCCAGAACCGAGGTTAGTGTGCTTTTCTATAGGGATGGGGGGGGATAGGATTGTTGGGTTTGAGGTTTGAGGCGCCGTTTATGTGGTCTGCGATCTTGCGGCCAAATTGATCAATGCTAGATGTGGCGGGGGGCTTCAGCTGGGTCGAGGGATGGATAGGTCTTGACGGTTTGGATTTCATGTTATCATTGTTCTGTCTCCCCTAGAGATAAGATAATATATGCAAATATTCAGAGAATTGTTTCCTAGAATAGGAAGCTATATACAGTGGATTGTGCCATGCAACATCCACCAGTAGGACAGGAGGCTTTCATGCAATACTCGCCGACTTAACTCCTCCTACCGCGCTTGTTGACCCACCCCGCGTTCGACAAGATATACAGCTCCCCCTCCTGCCCATTGTCACTCGCAACAATCAGCCGCGTCTGGTCCCTGTCCCACGTGATACCGCTCGGCCGAAAACACTTCGAGCTATCGCACCCCTCCTGCGGATCCCACAGCAGGTCGACGTACCCCTCCTTACTGTGCCTGTCGGCCACGGGCTCGTACCCGGCAGAGGTAGTGGTAAACGGGATGGTGACGACCTTGTAGCCCGTAGGGACGTTGCGGTTCCAAGAGCCGTGCAGCGTGACGTAGAGGTTCTCCCCCGCGGCGTCGAACTTGGCGTCGATGGGGGCCGAGTGCGCCTGGATGGAGAGGCGCGGGCCAGTGGAGCGCTCCTGGCACGTCTGGTCGGTCCAGGTGCTGTTGGGCTCGGGGATGAACTGGTCGCCGGCGGCGAAGTTGGTGTCGGGGAACTCGTCGCCGCCCCAGGCTGTGAAGCAGGTTGGGTAGCCGTACCAGTTCTCGTTGGAGACGGTTGGGTCGCCCACTGAATGGGGGTTGTTAGCAAGGTGAGATAGTTTGGATGGAGTGGCGGCGATACTTACGGTAGTTGAGCTCCTCGGCTGGGTTGTTCTCGTGGATGTCTGTGGCCTTGCCGTCGATGACGCGGGCAAACTCATCAGCGCTGTTCTCGACACCCCAGACCCTATTCAATCAGTTAGCAGTCAGAACTAGCAATCGAATAGCTGGTTAGACGCACATGTTATTGGGATCGACGGCGATGGCGACCTCGTTCCTCAATCCATAGCCAAGGAATGTTCCCTGAGTGTTATAGGTGTAACCACCCTCAGGGGCCTGGGACAGATCAAACACCTTGACGATGGCTCTGCCAGTATTCTTGTCGAACGCGGGCATGTCCAGGTTGGTGTGGCTGCCCAGGCTGACCACCAGCAAGTTAGGCGTCTTTGGAGGGACCACCAGAGTGCGTGTCGAGTGCGTCCCGCGGTACATATCCTTGACCACGACGACCTTGTTGGACACGGACTGGGTCTCAGCGTCGTAGTCATACTTCCAGACTGTGTCGACCGACGAGACCAGCAGGGTTTTGCGGTCTGGTGTGAAGGCGATGCCGTGAGTCAATACACGCTCTGCGATGAGCGTCTTGGAGCCTGCAAGGCAGCCGTTACTCCCGAATGAATGTACGGAGACACCCTTGGAAACTTCGACAACGAGGAGGTTGCCCAGGGAGTCGATCGCCATGGCTCGGGGGTTGGTCAGGCTGCCGGCCAGCTTCACAAACGACCACCCATCGGCGGCCACGAGGGGGAAACGGGCATTCAGACTACACGAGGTGGGGATGGGAAGTTCTCCAGTAGGAGCGGGCAAGTCTGAAGTAGGTGTTGGTATGGTTGTGCTCGAGGCGCTTGTGGGAGTTGGAGTGCCCGTGGGTTGTGGCTCGTCAGGAACCCAACTTGCAAAGTCACCAGACCGGGCTTTGGTGAAGTCGAGGCCAAAGGGGGTTGCCTCATCGTGAGCAGAAAAAGCCGAGTTGGGGTCGCTAGGGGTGTTCACTGCTTTGCTCGAGTATGCATAAGCGATAACGTTCTGGGCGTTGGGGTCCAGCTTGTTGTTGTCGGGCTTCAGCTCGTCCCATTGAGAGCAGCCCTTGCAGTGAATTGTAGCTACCCAGTGTGTCGCGTTGACAGTTGATCCGTCGAGAACTGCGAGGGTAGCCCCGTCCCACGCGGCGGGCAGAGAGTATGAGCTGTCATATTGGTGTCAATACATCAGTCTCGAGGTTTGGCGACAGTTTGACTTACACAGCAGCCCGACTCGAGACCACCACCTCATCCCCATGGGGCCAAGCAATGGTCAGAGGATTATTTGTCATGCCGCTGCTCCACGACAGACCAGCCCAGCCGATCTCAGTCGGGGCAGTGATTTGAAGGATGACATCGAAAGGAGCCTCGGTGGCCTCGGGGATGGCAACACCATAAACGATGCCATTTGCAAGAGTGTAGGAGGCAAAGCAACGACCGAGACCGTCACAATACGTGCCAGCCGTTTGTGCCGATGCTATTTGACGTGTGTTAGCTCATCCACGGTACCATCAGGGAGGTTTATGGTGTATAACGAACCAAGCGAAAGCAGAGCCAATGCTCCTACTGCAGAAAATAACCGTTGCATTTTGGAAGAGCTACCACCTGGGTTCATACAGCAAAGTGCCACTTGCAATGAGTCTCTGGGCGGGGACCAAGCACAAGCCGCGGAGGGCAGGCAGTTTTATGTGTCCTCATCGTCTGTCCAACCCTTGCCCACCAAACATGTCCGTCTTGTGTCTGGCTGGAGGGACATGCCATGACATTGACACCCTTCCCTTATTGATCCAATCAATGTTTGCCTATTACTGAGCCCGTCACACCCACACCCATAGCCGGAGCAGAAATGAGCAAAGTTTCATCCGTCCTGCCTATAACGGCAAAATTGGACGGTAGCATAGCACGGCGCACCAGGGGAGGTGTCCCAGACGGAGGGATCGACGGCTTGGACTCTATCAATGGAGGTTGGTTTCCCAAGGGGCGCGGAACCCAACCCCGGTTGAAGGGGGTTGCTGATCGGACTGGCGCCGTGATGGAATGGAACGTGAAACACCAGTACGTTCAATTCAGGCTGAGCTCGAGAACAAGACTGGAATGTGTCTCGGCCGCGTATCACAGGACCTCAGAAGAAAAGCGAGAGTCTGGCTCGGTGATCCATCACACGTGAACTAACTCCGATATGTCGAAGAAAGGTGAACAACTATGGCGTGTTCGGCTTTAAGCCGGTATGTTGGCCATTTAGAGGACGGACCGAGGGCCATGGCCCGGTGCATATCTCGAACAACCTTGTTCATGATAAGGTTAATAAAGCAGAAACCCAGGGGCTCCAGTCCGGACTTTACGCTGACGGTTGCCAAGCGTGGCTTCTACTCTTCCAATACCACTCCAACGTGTCCAATATGCACTGAAACGGAGCATCGGGCGCCGTCTGTGATATTTGTCATGCTGAGCGAGAAACAGCCCGCCGCGGATCAAGAGCAGAAATCGAGCCCCTTGCCAAAGGCCCGATGGGGAGGCCGCCCAGGGCCTGAATCTCCTTCCGTCTTGGATGGGGTTTTGGATCGTGGGGAGCCAAGATACAGGTCACTGATCTGTAACAGGACAGTAGAATCAGTATCAGTTGCCGGATTGGGCGCGGAGTCTGGCCGATGAAACACCTCCTCCACGATCTTGGCGTTTTGTATTATTAATGGAGGCTTGCTGATCGGGTTTGGGCCTCTTGCAGCATCTGGCAGATGCAGAATCTCCCGGTCTTTCTACCGGGCATGTCGTCATCGGTCTAGGCTTTAGAGTCGAAGCAGAAACCGTGGTGCAGTGTGTAACATCCTCAGCCGTACAGTAAGGTAGTAACGTGTCTAAAGGGGGAACCACTGAGTGCTTTCTCAACTGGTAAGGAGATGGTTCTACGGAGTTGAAGCAACGAGCAGCCCAAAAGGAGGACAAACGGAAAATAGTCGCCAAAATAAATTATACGTAAATTATTGAGTACGCAATGTGTGAATCAGTATCCTCCAAGAAAACGTCGTGTGGGATCGTAGGTCTAGGGTAACCCCACGTCACTAGCGATTTCCCCAGATTCCGACGATTTTTCGCCTCGCCTTTCCGAAGCAACCCGTTGCTCCATCCTCCCACCACTCTTTCTCCCCTCTAACGCGCACCGCCAATCCTCCCCTCCCACACCGTCCCCATGGCAGGCGGCCGCAAGTCCAAACCTCCCCCGCCTCCTCCCCGCCCTTCGACGACTCTCGTGCTCGACAATGGCGCCGACACCCTCAAGGCCGGGCTCGTGACTGGTGGCCGCATCAACGAGCCCGAGATCATCCCCAACTGCATAGCCCGCGACCGCCTTAAGAAGATCTATGTCGCTTCCGAGCTTAGCCAGTGCCGTGACTTTAGCGAAATCCAGTTCCGCCGACCCGTCGATCGAGGCTTCATCGTCAACTGGGAAGCTCAGAAGGAAATCTGGGATCGGGTGATCCTCGACGACAAATCCTCCCTGAAATGCGACCCCGCCGAGACTCGCCTTTTGCTCGCCGAGCACCCTAACGGCTTGCCCGTCTTGCAGTCGAACTGTGATCAGATTGTGTTCGAGGAATACGGCTTCGCAAGCTACTATCGTGGAATAGGTATGTATGGCCCTGGCGCGGCTGAAGCATATCTTGCCTGGTAATTGGCAAGGTCACTGACAATTTGGATAGGCTCTACTTTCAACGCTTACCACGATATCCAGGGTCTCTTCCGAACTGCCAGAGATGCCGCGACGGTAGCCAACACCCCCGCCGAGATCCTCCTCGTGGTGGACTCTGGCTACTCGCATACCACCGTCACTCCAGTTCTACGGGGACGCCCCCTCCACTCCGCGATCCGAAGACTAGACGTGGGCGGAAAGCTTCTTACCAACTACATGACTCGATTACTATCTCTACGACACTTCGACATGCGAAACGATACCTACATTGTCAACGAGTTGAAGGAGGCGGCATGCTACGTATCTACAGACTTCAAGGGCGACCTCGAGAAGTCCTGGAAGGGAACCCGTGGCGAGAGGCGCGAACCCTTCGTGGCGGGCGTCACTGCCAAGGACTACGTCCTACCCGACTTCGGCTCCCGCGCCAAGGGAGAGCTCCGCGACTACGACCCTGCGCGACACTCGAAATCGAGACGGGCGGCCGGTCCGCAGCCGGACGAAGACATCCTCACGCTACGAAACGAACGATTCGCCGTCCCCGAACTGATATTCAACCCCGCCGACATGGGCATGCGCCAGCCTGGTCTCGCCGATCTGATCCAGGAGTCCCTGCACGCCCTCCCCATCGGGCTATGGCCAGGGCTTCTCGCCAACATCACCGTCGTCGGAGGCAACGTCCATCTGGAGGGCTTTATCCAGCGACTGCAGAAGGAGGTTGTCCAGCGGTTCCCCGATGACTGTGTCGTGCGTGTCGCGAGGCCAGCCGACCCCATCACTAGTACCTGGCAGGGCGGCGCCAACTTAGCGAACCACCGTAATATCGAGAAGCTCGAAGTAACGAAGAAGGAATATGAGGAGTATGGTGCGGGATGGGTCGCTCGGAAGTTTGCAAAAGGTCTTGGCTCGGACTGATGGGATGGAGCTGAGAATTTACCAGTGTTGGATTTCCAACCCTCAACAAGCAGACCTTCGACCGAATGAAATAGAGGCGCGATAAATAACGCCTGGAATTCCTGGGAGATCCAACGACATGCAGTTGGAAGCCATGACATTCTTCCAGCTTTCTACAGCTTGAATGCACGATCGATGGACATCAGGAGCAGGACTGGCGCAGGAAGCGCTCAAGGAGTCTAAACCAGAGCCACCAGCGGCTCGCTCCATCGGGTTCCATTCCGGTTGTCTGGAGAATCTCCAGTCTACAGACACCGGAGATGATGGATGCCGAGGTCTGAGATAGAGCTTCGATGGAACGAGGTACCGAAGGAATGAAACGGGGATGCTGGATATCGCATCGGTGGGGTTATTTGTGCCCGAATCTGTTGGAATTACACGATGGCCCGGCGCGGCATCCGTCATGGCGAGGAACAGCCAGGCATATCTCCCGGCCTAGGCCCATTGAGCTGTCTATCGCTCACTCAAAATCCCACTCCCGTTTTGAGGTGATTGATCTTGATTGTGTGTCTTGTTTTATGATCCTCACATGGATCTCGGGCTGATGGTCAAGTCATGATGGAGGTGGATGGACGAGTTGTATGAATGCTCATCTTTTAGGGGCTTGTTGAGATGCTGGCCTCTGAAGAGGAAGAATATCTTTGCCTCCACACATTAGGTGTCACAGGGGGATAGAGATAGAACCATGCTGAGAGGCGGGTGCCGCCATCAAAGACAAGGACGCGGTGCTCCAAGTGATATTGTAAGAGGGTTCATCCTCCGTGATGTGAGGCGAGACTTTGTTTCCATTGATTGTCTGATCAGATGTTTTTTTTCTTGCTCCTTTTTCTGATATTGAAGAGTTGCGATCGTGTTTCCCATGTCCGTCCATAATAATAATCCCAAGAAATCCATGCCGTGGGAGGAGAGTTCTCTCCATCAACGCCTGTTGTTCCCACATACGCTTGCCATGTCCCGTGTAAAGTCATAAAACAGGGACAACTCGTGATGGCTTTCCTTGCAAAAAAGAAGTACAAAAAGTCAAAGAATGAGAAGAGAGAAGGAAAAGATGCGCTCGCTGATGCTTTCTCCTTTAGCCATTGGGTCAATTGCTTGTCTGTTCCCAGTCAAGACGGTCGACATCATGGCTTGAAGGGTTGAGATTGTTACGTCTCGACCGAAGGACATCGTATATTCCACGCGCAGATACAATTTAGTCCAGCCTTTTCTATCCAGGTGTTGACGAGCTAGAAGCCAGTCCCTCCCGCTTCTCGGATTTCCACCGAGCGAAAGAAGGGGAAAGGATCGAGCCGTCTTGCGATGATGTTCAACTCGCGGTTAGCGGCGTCTCAGTCCCCGTCCGCGCGAGACGCACCCTATTTGAGTTAAGTAAGTATGATGATTTACGAGTTTAACACTTTTCTACGGGAGAGCTTACAGTCACACTAGAGGGAGAAAGTTAGTTACGGTGTCTGAAGAATAGAGACGAGGATGACTTACGAATTTCGTGCATGAGCCTTCGTTGTGGACGAGGCAGTAACCACTGCAGCACTTCCGGCACGATTTCTGGGTTTTCGAGATACAAGAGTCACACTGATCGAAGCGGTTAGCTCTTCTGCCAATTTCGAACTTCATAACAAGGGGTTATGGCATACGTTCATGCCGCATTCCCAGCAGCTTCTGGATACTCGTGCCTATATAAACAGTTAGCCAAGCTCACTCTTAGTAAAGCCACACATCTGCCAGTCGCGACATGACTCCGGCAACTTATAAGGAGGTTTCAACAAACGATGCGTACATTCTGTAAGGCGAGCCACTACCTAGGCAGTGGTTCGTCGCGCAAACAAATCATGCTCGCTTCATTCACGTGGACCTCTGGGTCGCCGAAGCCTCGCCTCAACCGATTCTTCTAAAGGTGCATTCCCGGCAGAGACCATTGCGTACCTTGGCTTTGGCGTTGAGGAACTCGGGCTCGATCGCGAACGAGGCCACGCTCCCGTCCTCGTCGACGATGACCACGCTGTCGGCTCCGCCGGGCCGGTTGCTGCCAGGGACGGTGTAGCACGCCTCGCACCACCACTTGTTGCAGCTGAGGCAGTACCGCTCACGGAGGCAGTCGACGCACCGAGGGACAAAGGCCATCGCGGGCCCGCGGGGGGTCGTGGCGGCGCGGACGGACGACGACACGAGCGGGGGAGGGGCGAGGAGGGGGACGGCCTGCCTGGTGAAGTCGAGGCTGGGGACGGTCGGGCCCTCTGGACACTTGCCGCAGCCGGCGCAGGGCGGGACGGCGTAGGTGGCCACGGCAGGGCCGCACATGGCGCGCAGAGGGGTGGTGCCGAAGACGGGGGAGCTGCGGTGGCGAGGACCCTGGCAGAGGACGGCGTCGAAGGCGATGATGCCCTCGCAGGCCAGCAGGCAGTTGGCCCAGTCCTCGGGGATGGGCCTGCTGATCATGCGGCCTCTCTTGGACCACCAGGCGTCGCCCTCGTGCTTGAGGGACGTGGTCAGGGCATGCTGGCTCTTCTGGTTCCACTCGGCGCTGATGGAGCTGGAGTTGGCGGATGGATGATCGGGGAGGGAGGAGTCCTTGGCCCCGAATACATACAGGGCCTTGAGCCGCGGCGCACCCTCGGGGCGGGAGCCTCGACAGGCGTACTGGAGGGCGCCGCGGAGCTTGCCGTGGTTCAGGTTCTTGACATCTCGGATGGAGAGGATTCGAACGCTGTATGTTGGGTCGTTGATGATGTCGTTGCAGAGCTCGGCTGTCACGGACAGGCCGTCAAGGACCAAGGTCTGGACATCGCGGAGGAGGTCGCGCCGCTTCAGGGTTGAGAAGACGCCCCTCAGCGGTCCAGAGTAGAAACTGCAGAGAAGGATTAGCTCGACTGGATCGATGGATGGTGGATTGCGCAAGTTGAGGGCGCATATCTGGAAAGGTGGAACCTACTCATCTTCGGTAAGATAATCGTCAAGCTCGACATTGTGCCAGGTTTGACCTTGGTCGCGCTTATCAACGTCGAAACGAGCTGTCTTGACCCGTGTAAGATCTAGGTGTCGGAAGACTCGAGGAGTGTTGTAAAGTAGGTAGCGGAATGCTTTGCTTGCAAGGGCGAGGTTGAGCAGGCTCGAGACAGGAAGGTAAGGGACGGTGTTGTCGAGTATAAGAGGGTTGACAAGAGTGTCGAGGAGGAGTGGAGTGGTTGAAGACGTCAATACATGAGTCTCAGAGCGCGTTCGGTGGACAACGTTGGCTTCGCTCATGTCAGGCCAGGTCCTGTCGGAAAGCCTAAACGAAGCTGTAGTCTACCAAGGTGGTCTCGAAGGTGAGCGGCGGTATCGTCTACGTGTCGACGGCGCTGAAAGAGCGAGTATCAGAGTATCGGTCGTTCGTGGAGATAGTTAGATGTCTGTATGCGACAGCTCGTTGTACACCCCAAAGCTTGTTAAGCTTGCTGGATCGGTGTAAGATAACGCTGGAGAAGAAGCTATGGGGAATCAGACAATTAGAACCAAGACCAGAAGTAGCCTGGACAGGCAGGATATAAAGGGACATGGATATAAAATACCTGGGTAGCAAGTAGCGAATAGTGCTGGATCTAGATAGATCTTGGGGAATCGTTGATTATTGGGAACAGGGTATCGTTCTCAGTCCAAAATACGTTCCGCCGCCTCAAACGCGGCAAGCCAGGGCAAAAGCCATATAAAGAGACAGAAAGACAGCTGGGATAGGGATTGAGTGGTGCGCTTGACCAGGTGAGGAGGATTGAATCAGGCTTGAAGGAGGAGGAGAGGTAAGACAGGAGTCGGTACTAATAAGAGGAGGGCAGGAGGGACCTGGGAGCACAGCAGCGCCGCTCGAGGTACATCTGGGATGGTGAGGCTCTGGTACCGTCACTGCAATCCCACAGCTGGGGGTACGAGGGGGCCGCGGCCGGGGAGGTAGCATGGGGTCTCTCCATCCTACGTCTCGCGAGTGCGTCTACCGACATGCAGACGTGCTGTAGGCCCGGTTCCCGTTGAGCACTCATGCCTGTCTAGTCCTTGTCTCGTTTGGGGAGGACGGGCGTGGGCAGCCAAGAGGGTGTCAGGGTCTTGGGACAGCTGGGACGGACCAGGCGGGTCATACGGTTTAGGTAAGTAATGGAGCATAATCGAGTGGCGTGAGGCCAACATTGTATTGGTGGACTTGCAGGGTCCTTCTGGACTGGCCTGATTGTCTTGGAATTAATAGCACACCGTAACGCACGAGGTGGGGACGGCTGAGCCTAAATCGTCTTGCTGAGTCGTTGGGGATTCACTGGAACTGGCAGTCTTACCAAGACCATCCTCAGAGGGAATCACTTCTCAAGTGGTGTTGTGTTGTGTTCCAGCCGGCTGACCAGTGATACCAACTCCCTTGCCTGGAGTGATTCATATCAACGCATAATGTTAAGGTTCTTTATTCCGTCTTGCCTCTGGCTTGTCTCAGTTATTTCTTCTTTTGATATTCTCTTCGCTGCACAGAACACGTATGATCTTGGCGCCCTTCCGCCTCACAGAAGTGATCGTCTCCCCACCCCCCTTAAATGTCTACCTCTGTCTCTCCTATTTGACGTCTGTGTAGACCGCTTTTACATAACCCAGTTTGATTTCATAGTGGTTATAGACATGATAAATATAGGAGACATGCAACATTTCTGAGGAGCAGGGCCATTGGAGAGATCTACTCGTCGAGCCGGTCCTGACAGATGAGGTGGCGGGCACGGAGTATCCTCGATCAGCGCTCCTTCTCGCACCGTACCGCATTCCAAGCGGCATCACCGGAAACCGGGTAGCTCAAGCTGTAAGCCTCTGTCTCTGCTCTGTTTCTAGCGACGCAACCCTCGGCTCCAGGGTCTACAGCGGTGGGCGTGTCTGCACAAGCGCTGCAGCTCACGGTCACCAGATCTGCGAGATATCCCCCACGCATCCTTCCCCACCGACCGGCACTTTGCTAGCCT